TTCTAGCTTGTTATTAATTACAGATTGTAAACTACTAATATCTTATGTTTATGTCTATGTCACAGCTATATATACTTCTTTCTCTCTGACAAATACCTATTATATATATTTAAATAAGTACAATGCAATATATTTTTTGATTCTTTAGAGAAAAGCGCATATCCGGAACTTTTAGAATCGTCAGCCTTTGTAGTCAAATAGTGTACATGTTTTTAACTATGATTTAAAAAAAAAACTGATAAAGATTAGACTATATGCTCACATCTGAATGCGACAGATATATTTTTTAAAAGATAGTACTAGACAATATAGAAGACTTTACTTTCAGATAGTGATCTATAACCTGAGAGCCTATCATAAGCAATATTCACAAGCTATAATTAACGAAAATGAGAATGGCTTACATCAAATACAATTTTTTTAATTAAATTCAATGTTTATATATATTCTGCAGTATGTTAGAGCATGAATATAGACTGATGTGTGTGACAATGGCAAATAATTAAACACTTTACTTTCTTTTTTATTTTATTTGTTTTGCTTTATGTCGATTTTTTGTTTTTGTTATGGTTTTAATTTTTAAGATATGACCCTGTTGTTGATTTTTACTAAAACATAACTTCTACCAATGAAATTTGTAGGTTAGTGCAGTATTCGAAAGTTTAATAAAATAATACTTTTTGGACTTTTCCCAAGCGTATAGCTTAAAGCGCGAACCGTATGCAATGGTTTTTCATCATCTGATTTGATGTCAAATGAAAATGTTAAGAACATGTTTATGATCTTTAATTTGTATACCTCGCTTCAAACGATAGGGATATTTTGGTTTACGTCTGTCCGTCGTTTATTTGTCCATTTTCCTCACTCAATTCAAGCAATAGCCTCTTATATGATATATATGATACACAGGTTTCATTATGTTTTTATTGAGGATTTAAATTTTATCTTATGATTTAATAAACCAAATACAATTAGTAGTCAAACTAAAGATTCGACAAAAGTCTACAAATATCCTATTTTTCTACATGTTCTACGTACCAAAATTATTTTCTATACTAAATCACTATTTCTAGTAAAATAAGAATGTGTCTATAAGTTGGTATTAAACACTAAAAATTAATTAATCAATCAATCCATTTTTTTAAATTTTTTTTTATCATTTTTGAATTGAAACAGAATGTGCAAAGTTTGTTGAACAAATAACACTCATTTTCGGTAACAGTCTACTATGTTCCATGAGACACTAAGATGAAAAGCATTCTCATTTTAAATTGGCTTTTAGGTGATATCTAAATTTCATATTGGAATAAGACATTTTGAATTGAGGACTTTACTACCTTGTTTTATAATCGACAACTTCTGAATAGACAGATTAATTCTCTTCTAAAAAAGGAATGTATTTCAGAGTTATCTGCTCGTTGAGTTGAGAAGTATTTTTTTATCACTATTGAAGATATTCTTTTTTCGGAAGTAATACTTACCATCGCGAGAAACATTTAAGTGATCTTGAAGAGTTTTGTTTTCAAAATTCATGAGTGAACTTACCTTTAAGGCGTGTAGTATTGTTTTTACATAAGCACGTGTTTCAAGAATCACTTTAAATTTAAAAAGTTCGGTCAAGATTCAAAGTTTTGAAAGCCAGAACCATTACGCTGAAAATCTATATGTAAATGTATTATTTAAATAAAAACAGCATCGAATTGCCAGCTACAAAGCAAATGAACCTTTGGCCATGTAGAAATTAAAAGAGGTGGTATGATTGCAAAATTGATATAGGAAATTTAATATATAATGGTATTTTACTATATTTTTAATAACAGCCTCGGTGGTCTCGTGATAGCATGTTCGCCTCGAGTGCGGAAGGTCATGAATTCGAACCCCGGCCGGGTCAAACCGGACATTAAAATTGATATTTGCTGCTTCTTCGTCAAGCACGCGGTATTAAGGAGTAAGAGCAAAGACTGGTCTGCTCGGAGTCAGAATAATGTGTCCAGGTAAGGTGACATGTCGTCTTGCGGATTGTTACCTTGTGAGCTAGCACGTTAAAAATCCGGCTCAGCGCGTCGGTCTGGTACAAAGCAGGGTCAATATTCATTTTACATCAACATGTTCTTGTCTTGAATATGCATATTAATTTGCAGCCGGACGTTAAGCAGCCATTCATCTTTATCATCACCTTATATGTTTTTTAATTTAATTTCAATGGACGACTCCATGATTTGGTTAACAGTTATGGAACAACTGTGTCACAACAGACCACGGATATTTGTTCTATTTGTAACCGTGTCACACTATTTTTACTTGCAAGGAATTTAAAAACGTTGCCACTATGAAACGTATTATAAATGTATGTAATAATCACCATTAGACCTTTTTAAAACACGTTCGTTAAAATCAGGACATTTGTTTATACTTTTTTCAATATTTCGTTTTGTCTTCAAACGCTCTGATTAGAATAAAAGCTGCAAACACTATTACAATGGCTAAATCTATATTTTAGATATGAATCACATTAAATAAAAATGGTGCGTCCGGTAGTCTTTTTATTCTAATTTATCTTCATTAAAATTTGAAAGCCATTGGTAAATACATACTTGACTAGCTAATTCTACACAGAGGTAGATAATAAAAAAAGACAGGAGAAAGACAATAAAAAATCATTAGGAAACCAGAAACCTACGACAATTAGGTCCTATCAGCAATAACCGCCATGTTGATTCACAGTCGACTACTCTTTTATCATTAGGTTAATGGGAAATAGGAATTAATATTAAAGTTGTCAGATACCGCATCAGAGACTCTGTGGTCATTTTATAAAAACTGTTATCATAGTTGGGGAAAACGGTCGATATGCAGTTTTATACAACAACAAAAAATTAAATTAAGGATTCGTATTTCACGACAATGAATCCTCACTGGTTTTATAGACGGTCTATAGCAGGTTAAACTTTGGTTTAGTGGTGACCTGTCAAAATCGATCATAATAGAAGAATTTTGCTTATGATTATAATACATAAATTTGAATTCTATAATATGTTATCAAATATTTGTTTGTTCTTCAGTTATCATGGTTGAAGAAATACCACAACATGTTTATTAAACTGATTTCGTAAAGATAACAATATATATAAATACAAGATAAACATCTTACAAACTGTCATCTTACTGTGTTGACAAATTTGAATCATTCATTGTTCTAAATTTACATATCTGTTAGGTTTTAAAACTTAATCTAGATAATACTTCATATTTATCCTTGAAACAATCATTAAACAAAATTAATTTAATTAAAGTTGTACAAATAATATGTCCAATAAGTATATGTTTATCGTCTTCTGAATTGCTGTTTCTATCATGATCGAACAGAATTATCCAAATTACTTTTTTCTTGTTTTAATGGACAGTTATCTCAATATTTCAAGTCCAAGCACAATGATTATTTAAATGATGAAATAATCAACATCGATAGTAGCTCGAACTGTTTAATATACACCATTCGGCGACTGCACAACATTACAGTATAAAATAATCACTTTGGTCTCCTCTTGACACAGATAATAACAGACTGGTGAAGATGAACATGTTCTTGATGATATCATGAAGCAGAGGGATGAATTGTTACAAAAAAAACACACATCGTATTGAATATGTCTGGTTAATAAAACTGAATGAAGTAATTTTAAGACGGGCTGTTTATTGACTTATCATTATTTAAGATAAAGTCCAAATTGTTTTGTACATTAGTTTTCGAAGTCCATTCAAACTGACAAAATCAAATTTTATCGACAATATATATTGTTTATTCAATGCATTACCATTAAATTCTGCAATATATAGGTATAATTGTATCTTTGATGCCACATGTGGAGCAGGATCTGCTTACCCTTTCGGAGCACCTGAGATCACCCCCAGTTTTTGGTGGAGTTCTTATTGCTTAGTCTTTAGTTTTCTATGTTGTGTCATCTGTACTATTATTTGTCTGTTTGTTTTTTTATTTTTGGCCATGGCGTTGTCAGTTTGTTTTCGATCTATGAGTTTGACTGTCCCTCTGGTATCTTTCGTCCCTCTTTTTGATCATTCTAACACAGCTGCAGTGCAATATTTACGAATTATCTAAGATATAATCTTATTGTTACACTATCAAATCGGAAATCTACTACATTAATATAAATATGAGATGTTTCTGCCCTATATCATATTTCTGTACAGAAAAAATCGGGATTTTAATTTAAACTACCATACACCATCATTCATATTTTGTTACTTGGCAATAAACTATTTTTTTTAAAACTTTTTTTATTATGTATTGGTAATAGGACGAAGGACGAAATACTAACCTATCTTTAATGGACATAAGGGGCCTCGTTGGCCGTCAACACTGAGGTTGTTAGTTCAAATCTTAATCGACTATGGTTGTCAGTTTTCTTACCGAAGGTCGGTTGTTCCCTCTAGCTTCCTCCGCCAATAAAAAAATGACCACCACGAAATAGCATAATGGTGTTTGTAAACTATCAACACTACTATCTTGGAGTAAAGAAAAGCATAACAACCAATAAGAAATTATCCAAATATGATTTTATGATGTTATTTTTTTTTGCATATTTGTGGCCACGTGAACAAAATCAATATATTTTCCTAACATTTCCTTCAACCCGTATATCTTGTAATACAAAGTTTGTCAGATGAGACTCCATTAAAATTTACAATTTGATTTGTCTAAAAAATTTAAAACTGAAATGAGATATTGAAAAATTGTAATTGTAGATGTAAATTAAAAATCATTTATATATTAAAGGATGTTCGATACATTTCCTTTTATATAAATTAACGAATTTCAAAACATGCAAACCGAATTCGCCACGATCATATATATTACGATATTCCTGACATATTTATACTTTCAGTTGTCAATAATTATCATGATTTAAATGCACAGGATCTCTGTAGTTGATTTTAGTGTCCTTTTATGTGTTATGTGAGTATAATCTCTTCAAAGACTGCAATTGTTTAGAATTGTTCAAATATAAAAATAAGACGATGTGGTTTCATTGCTAATGACACAACTCTCCATCAGAGACCAAATGTCGTAGAAATTAACAACTATCGGTCAAAGTTAATTAATTTCAGAATCCAATACAATTGCTAATTGTTGATTGTTTATATTGTAGAATGGCTTCTGTCATAGGCAAAGAAGAGTCAAACTACATCAAAATAGCTCTTTTATTGCTGCGGATATCACCCCGTGCTGTTCGTGTTCAGTTTGATAGAGAATTTCATCCTGACATGCTTGTCAACACTCTAAAATCTGAATATGGAAAGCTCAAAGATCTATACAGAAAAAATAGGATAAACCAAAGCCAGTGGGATTTATTATTTCCGAAAAAAGGTTTGGAAAATTTTTAAATAAAATTGAGAATGGAAATGGGGAATGTGTCAAGGAGACAACAACCCGACCAAAGAGCAGACAACAGCTGAAGGCCACCAATGGGTCTTCAATGCAGCGAGAAACTCCCGCACCCGGAGGCGTTCTTCAGCTGGCCCCTAAAGAAAAATGTATACTAGTTTTTGTTTTGTTAAAAAAGAATCATACATGAAGAACGAACTATCAGAATAAGAATGAATTATCAGAAAAATAAACGAAATATCAGATCAATAATACTCCCTCAGACAAAGTAGATATTAGCCAAGAGGACGATAAAAAATGTTTTGTTTTTGTATTTGATGCTTTTTGATTTTAATGATTATATTAAAAAAGGTGAAATTTATCAAAGGGACATTAAAAACATAGAAAAGAAATAAAAAAGAAAATGAAAAACGACGAAAAGACGAACAAGACCACAAGACACATTGAGCAACACGAATGTTTTCAGTATTTTCGAATTCCTTCCAAAAGATTTGTTCTTCAATAGACAATAATCCGGGTTTTTCACAGACATAAATCTGACTCACTTATTAATACCACTTGGTTCCTGTTGTTGGTGATAGATTCTTACAAAAATGTAGTCCCTTAAGTAACAACCGATAGTAGCTTGTACTTCAGTACTTGGTTGAATTAAAAGATGCATGTTTATTAGAAATGTTCTGTACTTCTAAAATATAGATTTGAAAAAGCCTAATTAAACATGTTAAATTTAATGACGTAGCCTTTTCTTTTGAGGCATTATTTTGTTTTACTCCTTTTAAACTATATAACTGACTGTCCAGTATTGGATTTGTTCCTGTTACTAAATGTTTGCTTGATAATTACCTTAAGGATGTTCGCTCCTCTTGTTTTTGAAATTTTGCCAGATTTTCGGAATCCTCTGGTTTTATCCATGTTTTGCCATTAAATAATTTTGTCCACTTACCCCTACTTTTCTTTTCATAATTTTATTTCATATAGTTTTAATAGCCATATTTGAAAATTTCATAAAATCCTTGTTATTTTTTCATCGTTTTTAAAAGAGAAAAGCGGACAATGTTAAACGTATGAAAAATCTAGAGAGAATCATTTCCCGCCAAATTTTCAATGGCTTATATCTCAAAAGCAAGCACACGGACCCTTCATTTTTTTCTGCTTTTTTGGTTCCTTTATTTATATACTATAAATTTAGAACAGTCTTTTAAAAAGCTTGTTATTTTAAAACAGAGTAGCAAACATCCTTAAACAGCTTTAAATGTCCCATTGAAATCGTTTTTAAAACTTTCCCAAACATAATACTTGTTTATACCTGATGCAGATAAGTGAGAAGAGCTCGCAGTTGAAGAAAAATATATATAAAAAAAACCAATGTATTCAGGGGAACATAGTGACATGATGAAAACAAAAATATCGATCTTATATGTGCGGTAATCTTTATGTTTTAGGCACTAAATATACAGTGTAGTTTAAACAAATATGTAAGTGGTGTCTTAACTAAAATTGCATCAAATATATAATGTAATTAGCTCGTTTCAAGTCGAACAAAACATGTCTATCGATTGTTAACATTTTTTTTCTCTCTTTATTTATAACAGGGAAACCAATATCAATTGACTTCGATATTAGCTTGATGATCCTGTTGCTGCGAAATCTTGCAGGTGTTTGTGTCGGAGATTGTCTGCCGTTTTCAACAAACGTCAATCTAGCTGCCGATTTGTCAAGAATCAAATATTATAGAAACACAATTGCACACTTAGATAAAGTAATAACAGACATGGAATTTAATGTTATGTGGGAAGATATTTACATGGTATGTTTAGTATTAATCAGTAATGAAACAATAAATGAACCTTAGCAAGGTACAGTTAATGGGCAATTTCACCTATTTTGGTAAAAACTTGCATACAACCGTAGCTAGTTGAGCTATAAATGAAAATCGGAAAAAATAATGCACTTATCTCTTTTATTCGTTGAAACATTATGGTTTAAAGTCTTTTAAAATAGGTGAACATTTGTATAGAAATCACATAAAATCGACGAAAAGCGTTCTGCAGTTTGAATTTAAATCATCCATTGTCATCAAATCTCCAATTTAAAATCAATACTTTTTTTAACAATTATATGTTGTTGATAAAAAAAATCGCCGTTTTGATGATGTTAAATAATCATAAAAATAGTAAAAATTGAGGAAGGAATTGCTATGGGCATTCTGAATTGAACTTCAACGATGAGATACGAAAATATGCAAAAAGATTATTACATCATCGGTTCCAATTTTTATACTAAGGAATTTCTGTCTCATTTCCATTTTTTGTGTGCGTTTAATGTAATAACTTGCAACCTAAGCTTCGATTTTCTTTACTATTTACTTCTACAGAATCAGAACTATACAATTGTCATGAAAATTTCGTCCTCATATCTTAATTGAAAGTTCTTCTTAGATTCATCGCTGAATTTTCTAATTGAGTTTTATTGTTTCACACTAGGCGGTACAACGACTTGGTGGACCTGGTTTTAAAGCCAACTGTGATTTACTAAGGACAGCAGAATTTGATTCAACAAAGGAATATGAAAATCTGCAATTCATAAAAACTGAAAACAGACTTACTATAATGGAAGACAATATGACTCAACTTATGAAAAAGATATTTGTGTTAGAGTTGGAACGTGATATTCCAAAGGATATTCACAGTAATTATTTTATAGCTTATTATCCTTCATCATCTGTTTTGATGTGTCTTTTTTACCATTACACATATAGGATAACAAAAAATGACTGCATAAAGTGAATACTGAGTTTCACAAAATTGGATCAGATAGCCTGACTCGGGACATGCGCAAAATATGATTAGGTTAAATCAGTTTTTGACGTCCTCTATCCCACACCTTTTTCTATCTAGACCATATGTTGGTAAAGTTAAATACAAAATAAAGACTTCATTTGGGTCTATCCGGTTGCAAGTGTTATATCCGTCCCAACTTGTGTCCACCGAGGAGTCAAGTGGTAAACGCATGCATGTTTGCAATTGGGACATCGTTTTGTTTAGATGCATTGTAGAATTCATCCATATCATGTCTTGCTTCTGGTAGATTTAGAGCAGCAGGTTTTGTTGAAGACTAAATGTCTTATTTCAATATGTAAATAATATACATAGGGTTCTCTATCTCTCTCAATCGTGTTTTGATACATTTTGTACTAGTATATTGTTTGATCTTCTTTCCAGAGAAATATGCTGAGGAATATGTTTACTGGGTTCAAGATGCAAAAACCTTTCATCAAACTGTTGCATCTGCGTCAGTAACAGATATCATATTAAATAAAAGTGACTTTGTGGTCATTACTGGTGGACCTGGCACTGGTAAAACGGCACTGGCTCGTTATATTTCACTAACACTTCATAGACAAAGCTGGTCAATTGTTCCAATAAATAGTACGGAAGACATTTTTGAATTCCTTACTCAGATTAATAGTGCTCGACAAAAATACGTTTTATTCATAGATGATCTTCTTGGTAGACAAGCGGTATGCAAAGCAAAAGCACGACAATGGGTTCAATTGTACCGAGATAGTCTCATAGTAGGATCAATCCGAATTATTGCAACGTGCAGATTGCAGATCAGCGACTCTCCTGAATTCACTTCATTACGAAATATGTTTCAATTCACTGTATGCAATATTTCAGAAGATTTCAGAAACAGCATATCGGAAATGCACGAAATTGCCTTATGTTACATGGACACGCAAACAGCAGAATTATTATTTGAGAAAAACATTCATGAAAATGACAACTTTTACACTCTGTGTTTTCTTAACTCAAAATTAAATGATTCAATAGATTTAAACTTTTTTGTAAATGCTTCTCATACAATTGAGGAGAAGCTGAATGACATGTTTGAACTTAATAAACCCTGCTTTTTACAAATTGCACTTCATTTTTTCTTTGATGGAAGACTAAGGATACAACGTTTTGAAGACAATGATGAGCGTATATGCGAATTATTAAATTTCGTCCGCGAAGAATTAAATCTGAGCTTTATAGAAAATTCACAAATACTGCAAGATATATACCCTTTTAATGAACGATACTTGAAAGACAATATATATAAATTGTCTATTATACATCCAGAACTCGTTGACATTTTCTCAGTATATTTCTATAAGAAAATTCCAAAGTCTATGCTTAAATACGGAAGTGATTATTTTCTGCAGATGAAAATACAGCTGGAGACACCAGATAATCCGGTGATCCCTGGTACCATTATGATTGAAAAATGCCTCGAAGACATGTTTTTTGATCGACTTATAAATGACATAGAAAATAAGAAATTTGTTAATGCGTTTGATAACATTCAGGTAGCAAATAATTTATATCAAGAAAAGCTTATTGCACATCTGTCAAAATCTAGTGAGCCACTAGACCTCGTGTTGTCCGATTTTGAACTATTACTACGTTCGGTTTTAAATGGTGCAAGCAATTTAGTAAACTTTATCATTGCGGAATGCAAGAATCGGCATTATTTGATTGAAGGCGACAAAAACGAATTTTTTATTCATTTTGACGAACGAGCCTTATTGAATTTATATCCGCATATACAAGAGGAGAGCCTTCTACTGGTTGCGTGTTTGAAAGGTCATATTGATGTAGCTAAAGTGCTTATAAATTTAGGATTTAATAAAGATTACCAAGATAATTTTGAAAGGACGCCATTACAAATGGCTTGCCTTCATGGTCATATTGATGTTGCAAAATTTCTATTACTTTGTAATTGCGACGTTAACTTGTGTAATAGTGACGGCGAAACAGCTTTACATCACGCATGTTTTTGGGGTTATACTGATATCGTCGACATTTTTCTGCAAACCTTTAGAAATGATACAGCAGACTGTTTGAAACCTGATTATAACATGCGTAACACAAATATGAAAACACCTCTGTTTTTGGCGTGTGAAAGGGGGCATTTAGATATCGTTGAGCGTTTTGCAACTCTGGAATCTACATCTCCTATTCCAGTACCGAATCCGTTTGACATAAGCATAACTGACCAATATGAACGTACAATGCTACATGTTGCTTGTAAAAACGAATATTCAGGAATTGTTGCTATTTTACTTGAAAAGAATGTTGTTGTCAATGAGTACGATACGAAGGGTCGGACAGCTTTATTCTATGCATGCAAAAAGGGATATACTGAAATAGTGAGGCTTTTAATGGCGAAAGATAAATGTGTAAATGTTCAAGACAATTTAGGCCAGACACCACTTCATATTGCCTGCGATCGTCGTCATGGAAATATTGTTTTGCTATTGCTGGAATGTAAATGTAAATTGAATACTGAAGACAAAAACGGTAAAATCCCATTGCATTTAGCTGTACAAAATAACAGTACGGACATAATTGATATGCTAATGCAGTCACAAAATAAATATGCTAGTCTCGATAGTCAAAATGAATCCACAACATTATATAAACGAAATACCAACAGCACCGAGTATGCATGTGATAATAATGCACAGGACAAAAAGGGACAGACGGCATTACATATTGCTTGTAGCGAAGGCTATGTAGATTGTGTTAAAACTTTGTTGAATTACAAGTGCGGTATAAATATATGCGACAAGGAGGACAAAACTGCTTTGATATATGCATGTGAAAACCAAGAGGAAAATGTAGTAGATCTTCTGATTAATTATAATGCAGATGTTAATATATCCGACAAGAATGGTCTATCCCCTTTGCATATCGTCGTCCAAAAAGAAAACATGAACATTTTAAAAACTATACTGGAATGTAACCAATGTCAAGTGAATTCTATGTGCGAAGATGCCTTCTGCGGTTTTCGTTCAGCTCTTCATATTGCTATTGACAAACGAAATGCTCCAATTGTTAAGATGTTACTTAATTCAAGTTGTGACGTAAATCAACGTGGTCTCAAATTGCAAACACCTTTAATGTACGCGTGTGCAAGTTCGGACGTTTCAGACATTAAAAAACTTTTACTGAACGCAAATTGTGATGTAAATATTCCTGATGAAGACGGTCAATCTCCATTACATATTGCATGTAAAGACAGTAATATTCAATTGATAAAAATGATATTAACAAAATGTCAAGATATAAATGCTACCGACAATTTCGGTCGAAATGCACTTCATTATGCGTCTGAATACAGTTATACAAATACGATTGATCTCTTATTAAGAGCACACTGTAATATAAACAAAAGAGATTCCAACAATGAAACACCAATATTCTATGCGTTTAGAAATAATAACACAAAAAGTAACATTCAAACCTTGATAAAAAATCACTGTGATATAAACGTTACAAATAAAAATGGCATGACTTTATTGCACATCGCTTGTCATAAAGATGAATTACTTCTTGTCAGAACATTAATAAGAAATGGCTGTAACGTAAATATAACTGATAAATTAGGTAGAACAGCCCTTCATATAGCTTGCGAATATAGCAATGAAGATTCCATTGAACTGCTGATTAACGTGTGTGATGTTAATGTGAAAAATAAGAAGGGACAGACATCACTTCATATCGCTTGTCACAGACGGAATTCGGAAATCGTAAATCTCATTTTACAACATGCATGCGATGTAAACATTCAAGATAAAACAGGAACCACTGCACTGCATATAGCAGTAAAGGGAAGGGAAATTTCGATAATAGAGACCATACTGATGGCAAAATGTGATGTTAATATACGCGACGAAATGGGTCAAACGCCATTATTCTATGCTGTAGAGGACTGTCAAATTAATATAGTGAAACTATTGTTGAAACATAACTGTGACGTGACTGTAATAAATGACGATGATAACAATGTTATGCAAATCGCTTCTAGAAAAGGGTATACTGATATTGTAAATATGTTATCTTTGTAACATAGTTAATGCATTTACGTTCAAAGGTCGTGTGTACTCTTAAACTTCATCTTGTGTAAATTTGGTTAAATGTAGCAGTGTAGGCAAAGCCACTTACAATTCATTGTTTATTGTTTATACTTTCCTTTAATATAATATAAAGCGGCGCCTGTATTTGGAGCATGATGGTCTAGAAATTATGTGGTTTGAGTTAACAACAAAATTGCACGTGATTAACGTAACTTATCGATCTGAGCGCTTTTCATCGTATATTTAATGGTCACTATATGATATGATGTTCAAAAGGGCATTAGACGAAACTAATCATATTATTTGTTTGGGTGATCTGAATAAAAATTTCTTACTAAGTCTCCATAACTGTATTAGTGATATACTAAGTGTTAATGATCTATTTAATACAATTAACGATTCACGAACTGGTTCGTTGTCATTATTAAACCAAATATTAATAACTGATTCTATTCAGTTTATTGACGCGGGTATTATACCTATCATTAGAGAGATAAGTGATCACGAAGGCACTAACATTACAGTCAGAAGCGGGTTTAGTAACTGAAAGAGTTTCAAACGTACAATATGGGACTATAGATGAGGGGATCATAATTTAATGAAACAGATGATTTCAGATGTCGAATAAAATAAATTATTTGATAATGATATTAACGTCCATGAATCTTGCAATATATGTACGCATGAGTTTTTAAAAGTGAGTGAATCTTACATTCCAAAAAAAGAAGTAATTGTTCGATCTAATGATAAAATCTTATTTAATTCAAATCTAAGAAATGAGAAAACGAGACAGATTTCGAAAAATATCTAAAAAAAATAAACGAAAGGAAATCTAAAAACTAAACAAATCGAGTGAATAATTTAAAGAAACAAATAAAAGAAAACTTTTATGAAAATATAAATGAAAACTTAAATGAATTTAAGCAGACAAATAGTAGAGCATATTGGAAAATTATCAACTCTTTCTTAAAAGAAGACAGATCTTCTAATTAAACTCATCATAGATAATGATATTCCGCTGTTGCAAAACCCTAGTAATAATTTAGAATTTTCTTATAACGCAAAAGAAAAAGTTTATATTCTAAATAGATATTTTTGTTCTATAGCTAGCTTAGAAGAAAAAACCTAAAACTTGCCTGACTTCGATGATAGAGGTAATAACGTTTTGTCAGAAATAACTATAACTGAAGAAGAAGTTAAAGATATTATTTCTACTTAAGATCCAAAAATAACTTTTGGGCCAGACAAAATCAGTGATAGAATGTTGATTACAGTGAAAAGTCTATGCCGTCAATTTATAGACCAGTTTCACTTTTGTCTTAAGTGCGCAAGGTACTAGAAAAATAATATTTATATATATTATATGATCAATCATTTAGTTTCTAATACACTTTTGTATAAATTTCAGTCAGGTTTCATACCCGGTTGCTCTACTTTTCATCAACTAATTGAGATGTACAATTCTATCTTTTATGCTTTAGACAATAAATTTTAAACAGGTTTAACATTTGATGATGTAAGCAAGGCATTCGATCGAGTCTGGATAAGGGGCGCCTACTTCTTAAGGTAGAAAGATATGGTATTAAAAGCAAGCTTTTATTATGGCTCAAAAGTTACTTAACTAATAAAACTCAGAGGGTAGTATTAAAAGAGGCGACTTCCGGAATTAGGCTTTCCTGAAGCAGGTGTTCCACAAGGCTCAGTACTGGGTTTCCTTTTATTTCTAATCTTCATTAATGACATTGCAGATGCTCTGATTGGATTAAGTAGAATGTTTGCAGACGATACATCTATTTGATATACTGCTCCGGATGAAATTACTCTTCAATCCATGATAAATATCGATTTACAAAATATTAATTCCTGGGCAAGTGATTGGCTAGCTGAATTTATTCCAATAAACTAATATCATGTTATTTAGTATCTAAAGTTAAATAAATAACTTGATTTTGATTTTGGTGGAGTTCTAGTAGATACAGTTGCTAGTCACAAACATTTAGGTTTATTTTTTCAATTGTGACTGCAAGTGGACCAAGCCTATAGATTACTTAATAGAAAAGGTATCAAAACAATTTAATGCTCTTAGACGTTTGAATTTCCGACTAAAAAGGGAATATTTAGAAAAAATGTGATTACCTTTTATTAGGCCCGTTCTGGAATATTCTTCTGAAGTTTGAGATAATTGCGGACAATTGCATTCTGAAAGAAATATGCAACTAGAAGTAGCGGTTACTGCCACTGGTCTAACAAGCTACGTTAGCACTCAATCACTTTATTTAGAAACGGGATGGGAAAAGTTAAAGATAGGAAGTTAACAAAATAAATCTTTTTTACAATATTATGAATGAGGATGTTCCAGAATACTTATTAGATTAATACTTCCTACCGTTGCAGAAACAAACAATTAAAATCTACGAAGTATCTGTTAGTGTCAACCATTATTTCACTCTTTTAACCTAGCGCCTATAGTTATGAAGAGAAAAGTTAAAAACTGAAACATGGCAAAAAATTCCAATTTGAATTTCGTTTTTCTCTTATTGATTTTGTTTTTAAGATATGATATAAAAACTGCTATTTGGCCTCTATGTTCTATATTATCCATGGTTGTCATGGTGGCTGATAGACCTGGACAAAAACCTAAAACTTCATAGTAGACATCATATAGATGAAGCAGACAAACTTTGATGTTTTGAGTTGTTCAGAGATTTTTAAAAGAAAAGTTTACGTACAACTTAACCAAAGTGTTGGGAAAAGCTCCAATGGCCCTTTAGGCTCAACAGTGGTATTCTACATTCTCGTTTTACATTGATTTAAAATCTATGGTCTTTTTAATCCTTGTTTGACTTAATTTAATTATTGCTCAAGTGTCTCAGAAATTAGATACAAGACGGGACTTGAAAACTAATAAAGCATTAAGAAGCGACAAGAATAGTAGTTTAGTTTCAAGAAGCAACACTAAAACATATATAGCGTCAAGAAATCCATTAATCTTTTCTTTTTAAATATAATTATATATTTATGTGTATATGTATAATTGAATGAATATATATGTATAGGTATATGTGTTTGTACCTGTGTTCTTTCATGATTGTGTTCACTCACATACCACCTTTGGGAATTCACTGTGTTTGTTGTCTCCATTTTCCTATATAGGTTTAGTTTATTATAATTTTTCAATAAGAATTATTTCTACACTTTAAGTTAAGCTGTTATTGTTCTGCTCCTCGTGTCGTTTTGATAGACAAATAAAAATAGTTGTTGTTGTTGTTACGTGTTGTTTTCATACTTAAGGGGGCTCGCGGGTATAAATCATTTTTTTTAAATATAGGATTTCGCTATTTTTTTCTATAAATAAACTTTATCCTATACTTAATAGAAAAATAAAATAAAAATATGGGGTATTCGTTTATTTAAGCTCACAATCTGCCTTCGAAAGAAGCATGCATTTTTGTTAAGTTACTTTTTTTTCTGTTGAACTAATAGGAGAAAAAGGTAATATCGAAATAAAAAAAAAATAAATTACAGAAATCGCTTAAATTGGGCAATAGTTTAGTTTAAGTACAGCTTACTTGAAAGAAAATAATAAAAAATATAGGTCACCAATGAATTTAATAAGATATTACAATTTTAATGCAAAAAAATGGCATTTTTTTCACCAAAGGGAGATAATTTGGAGCTTTTTCAATGATATAAACATTTTAAAAGTCATCTGGGGCAACACGAATTGATATTTTTTGGTTGATTTTTGTACAATATCAGAAAGTGACAACTAATAGTGTAATAATTAAAATTTGTTATAAAAAAAAAAGTGTTTAAATTTTTGCTGATTTTTTTTGTACCCTCGAGCCTCCTTAATCGATACATATATATTTTACTTGTTTGAATGAAAAAAGAAAAGAAATTATAAAAAAAAGATATCTATTAATTAATCATTTCAATTATGTTATTGTACAAACCTGGTTGCATTTTTAAATAATTTTTTTTTTATATACGTGTATTAAATTGATTTGTAATATTTCATTAAATTGATAGATTATGAGAGAAAATGAACATTTGTTGACGAAAATTTGGATGATGGGGTTTTTTTTTTATCAAGGATATGAATACAATATTATATTAACTGGTTTCATCAAAATGTATAAATGAATCAAGATTTACATATTAAGTGAGAGCGACAGTCGAAAATCGATTAAATATCACCATTATATGAAACTGGAAAACATGCTTTTTTTATGTAAGATATGTCATAAATACAGTAGCAGTTACCCTCATCTTTCCAAATGTGTAATGGTTTTATATATAACCTCTGGCTCAAACTAATAAAATAATTAAAAGTAAAATTTTAAGTTATATAAATACCCTCCAAATCCAGAATACCTGCGATTATCATTATTATTTATTTATAAGTTTGTCAAATGATTACTTATAGAGTAGGAAAAAAGAAACAACTATATGTACTTCAATTGATATTTTATGGTGCGTCTTTTTATGTTGTAATGTTACACTACTGTTTCAGGTTAGGGTGAAGGATGGAGCCAGTTAAAACGTTTAAACTCGCTGCATTAGTATGCACCTGTCCTAAGTCAAGAGCCTGTTGTTCAGTGGTTGTCGTTTGTAGGTGTGGTTCATAAGTGTTTCTCGTTTTTTGTTTTTTATATAGATTAGACCGTTGTTTTTCCTGTTTGAATTGTTTTACACTAGTTATTTTGGGGCCCTTTATAACTTGCTTTTCGGTGTAAGCCAAGACTCCGTGTTGAAGTCCGAATTTTGACTATAATTGTTTACGTTTTACACATTGTGACTTGGTTGGAGAGTTGTCTCATTGGCTCTCATACCACGTCTTATTATTTATATTGCCTTGCCTTTTCAATTGTTGCTGTGGAAATATGATATAATTGATACATGTTTTCTTGCCAATAAACATAATCCAAAATTTGATAATTTCTTGTTGACTCGTTTACGGATTATTTTTCTTTTTGTTTTGTTTCTTTTTGTTTTTATAAATTGAAATAACAATCAATAGACTTGGTTGATTTAAGCAGCGCTTTTTCTTCTACCGTTTGATTTTCTAAAAACTAAGATCTGAGGCTGATCTGAGTATTCAAAAGTAAAACTTGGAAATATATTAATATGTCTATTTGTTTTGCACTGTCGTTGTCTGTCTTTTTACTTTATTTTTCTTGGGATTTCAACTTGTATGCGACGTTTAATAAGCTACGTCAACTCATCAATTACAACCTTTTGTGAAGTTTTATTAATGGCTCTTCATCCAAATGCCAATTTCTTAAACGTCATAATAAATTGTACAATGAAAGTTGATTTATTTACAAGATGCCCTTTCGTCTATCTGACTTTTTACTAAATCAAATTAAAAAAATGTAGATTTTGTTACTAGTACTTCAACTGATGACATCATAGAGTATGATTTTAAAATTTATTCATACTCCATCATCCTCCCCGTAAATAAACAAATAAGTCCCTTTTATATATATATATATCTAGTTAAAGTTTACAGTTTGGTCTTATCTGTCTCCTATGTGTGTTCCCTACTTTGTTTTTGATCGAATATGTTTCAAAATGTGAATCTATTCTTTCAGAATAATGTATAGTTAGAGGGTTTCCGCTGGCGGTTGCCATTTTTGCATTTTGCAAGAAAATAACATTGTGGCGATTAAAAATAATTTTTGGCGAAAGACTTTGATTGATTATAAGCAATAAAAAACTCTGATTTTATTCTTTGTTCTTCAAGTAGATAGGAGCTATCCGATTATATAATTAAAGATGAGTCCCGTGTTCCTAGAAGTCAAATATGACTATTTAATAATTTATATAATTCAATTTTCAACAAAGTTAATAAAACATTTCTTTTCTGATTGAGTGTTACTTTATTACAAAGTAGGTTATAAAATAGAGATATAGAACTATAATAAATGAGACAAGAATGCTGCAAACTGAATTTGTTCTTGTTAGCAAGAAGTAAAATTGTACACAAAAGATATGTTTATGTTAGTTGGCGAAAAAAAATTGAAAGTGTGACAAATATACTGTATTTGTTCAAATATAATATTGATTTACAGTTCACACCTTTGAAATCCTGACCCGGTCATTCATAACCTGTGCTTATAGTTCAAAAAAGTCATATATTTTAAATAAAGATCTTTCAACGCAAAAAGGCTGTACAAATAGTTATTTTATAATGGTACATATGTATTGCTTAATAATATTACTTCAAAACATGCTGGTTTCCATTCTCAATTTTAAATGGTATAGAGGTTCACTAGTTTCCAAATCCTTACTCCTTTAATCTTCTTCAAGAGTTACCGAAATACTTTTAAACAAAAAAACTGTTAAATTTACTAGGTTTATTATTTGATATACAAGACGCGCGTTTCGTCTTCATGAGACCCATCCATTGCGATCTAATCAAAATAGTTGTAAAGCCAAATTAGTTGCGATGTTGACGAAGATAAAAAAAAAAGGGGGGGATACATGTAGCAAAATCATT